GCCCGCCCCCAGTCTTGCTTCCATCTGTAGCTACTCACCTCCACTCACCTTTGCTTTCGTCCTTTGTAGAGGTCCTGGCTCATTTTGGCACCCCCACAACATGCTGAAGGGTAAGAACAATGACATGTTTCGAGCAATTCACACTTTTGCAATATTCCACTGCATATGTATATATCATATATATAAGAAATATATAATAAATATTATATATATATATATGAGTGATTATAAGAAATATAAGGAAAGTGTGAGTCAGCAAAAATTAGGGAAAATGATGAAAATGACATAATTCTTTTTTTTTTTTTTGTATTTCAGGGAAGGGTCTACAGGCTGTTCAGGGTCTTACTACTAGATCAGATTCATAGTGATCCGCCTGTTTACAGCCTCCCAAGAGCTGGGATTATAGGCGCACGCCGCCACACCCAGTCTGAAAATGATATAATTCTGATGTCTTTGAATGCAAGTCTCAGTAGTCAAGCAGAAGTCTGCGCAAGAATGCTGCTTCAATATAGATAGAAATAAATAAAGCAAGAAAGTGAGAGTTCAGTTTTGCCAATTTTATTGAACCAATAAAATTCCTAATAACAATGAAATAAATTTCTGCAAGTATAAATGTGATACAGTTTAACAAAACCCATTGTTCTGTACCTATAAATAGATTTTCAAAATGTCATAAAAAGTGCAGTTATGAATTAACATGTTAATACACAACTTCTTTATTTCAAATGTGTGTCTTGACTCACTAATAGTCCCTCCACAGCTGTTCAAATGTTACCCAGCCCTCCAAAAAGGCATTAGAGCACAAAATGTTACATACAAGCTGATCCCTTCGGTCAGCTTTAGTCAGAACTGTAAAATCAGCAACATAGGAAAAATAAAAACTAGTTCTACATACTGAAAGCTCTCTCAGTTCTACAATTTCCTTAACTGCTGACTCACTGGAGGGCGCTAGAAGCGAAGAGGCTTGCGAGGTCGACTACCTTCGACTGTATCTGCAGCAGGGTCTGGCTGCCAGGACAAGTTAAAGTGGCTGTTTATTAAGTTTGCTATTTGTAGAACTGAAACTATAAAGATAAGACTGCCATCTGACACTGAGCCTGTGTGACTTCTAAATTGCATCAATGATCTATTTGATAAAGCTTATTCTAATTGAAAACCATCTAGAGTAAGAGACCGTAACATAGAGCAGTCTTAAAGATCACGTCGCCTGCCTTACGTTAGTTCAAAGCCACGTGCTTTGTAAACAAGGCAAACGCTGCAGTAACAAAGCACAGGACGACCAGGCGGAGCCTCACAGCTTCTCGTTACGCTGCACGAAAGTACCCAAGAACGCAAAGCATAGCTCTGCCTTAATACTGATGAGTTAAAGACCGAGATAGACATTGAAGCACAAAGAAGAGATGGAGTAAGAAAAAGGAGAGATAAAGACCGAGATAGACATTTCACAGCATGCTACATATACCGCTCACAAATAAGGATTAGATGAAGTCTAAAATGGAAAGTCAAGAAGTTGGCAATCTGATTTCATGTGCAATTCAGCTACAAAGTCTTAATATATACATTCAGTATGTAGCTGCCCTGCAAAATCAGGATTAAAGAAAAAGTTTTCAAGTCAAATTCTATTTCCTAAGTTGAAGGACACATCCAGTTCTCCCATGACCAGGAAAGGAATTTTCAGGCTTGAAGAACCTAATCAAGAGACAAGGCCACACTCCACGGTGACCCGACAGGGTTTGTATTTATCTGCTCAGGTTGCATGTGGATGGCTTGTGGTTTGTTTTCAATAGCTGTTTTATTTTGGGCTAAAAGAGTTAAATGTGAAGAGAAAGAAGAAAGAAAACTGTCCTTTCCAGAGAAGACAAAGAAAATATTTGCACTAGATATAGAAGTTGGATCAATTTCCTTAGTGAACAACGGTACTACTTGAATTTTACTTTTATTTAAAGGAACCAGAGCGATTAGAAAAGGAGAAAAGAGGTTCTCAGCTTTCCAAGAGAAAATTCTTGGCCACCCAACTGACTCACGTCCTTCATGCTACCTTTTGATCCTTCCTTACCAGACTGAGGGGTGCCAGCTAAAAATTTGTAGACTCCTAATTCCAGAAAGAGGTGCACTATTAGTTTACTTCTGTGTCATAATGTGTATATGTAACTAACCGGAATCTGCAAATAATATTTGAATGCTAAAGGCTAAAGATTCTTTCTCCCTCTTTAATATTCTTTCTGTGGAAATTATATATTCATTTTTAAGAGAGTAATTTGAAAGGTGCAAGAAAATAGATTGCTTTAGCAAAAATTTTCGTACCAAAAATTAATTTATCATACTTAGATTTAATAATATTTGATGGTGTTGTATGAACTATAAAATGGGGCATTTGTTCTAAAGGCCTTATTATAGTAAGCACTGGATTCTTTCAAAGGTTTTTTTACAAGCAGTCAAAAAGATCAGATACTCTCTTCTTTCCCCTCTACTTTCTCTTTTTCAGTACTTGCAGTGGTGTAGTCATAATTAGGTTAAAGCCAGACTACACACTGCATGACACAACTGAATAAATCTTTCGGTCTCCAAGTCTTTTTCTTAACAGGCGCCTGAGTTCACTTTTGGACCTTCAGAGTGGAGCCTGAGCTCAGGCTGGGCTGCTCCTGGCTAACACGGCAGACATGCAGATACAGCCAGGGCCCACATCAATGCACAGCCCTCATCAGCGGTTCGGCTCCAAGTCAGAAGGCCACCTCTGGATGCATGTGTTCCACACTAGCAACTGCAGGCAGTTTAATCTCAAACAATGCTGAGCGCACACAGGTTGCAAAGGCAGAATCGCATTTTGGTGTCTAACGATGTTATTGGAACCTATCTGAAGTGCAGCAAGGGGAATAAAGACTACCAGTGCATTCTCTTCCCGCCCCACAGAAGATCCTCCCTTCCGTGAGGTCAGGGTAGGATGGGGGCAGGAGGGGTCTACCTGGGAAAACCCTTATGGATCCAGTTTGGTGTATTTTAATGGTGTTTTCTGATCCAAACACCCTTATCAATGTCCTCTTACAAGAAACATGTTTCACAGGCCAAATACCACCAATAAAACAAATAACTGAAACATCACTCCACTTATATGCCAGAAATTTCCTGTTCCACTAAAGGGCTACACACCAATCTGGATTGCTAGAGAATTTTAACTTTATATTCAAATAACTTGGACTAACCTTAGTATCCATTATCTAATATAGATCCAGGTTAAGATGGCAATTTAATCTCTTTAAAAATCTTGTTAAACACTAAATTCTGCATGGTAGAAATAGTCAATTTCTGTATCATGTATAAATATAAAGATTCCTACTTTGATAAAAGGCAAAATCTTCTATGACTTATTTAAAATATGGAAGTAGTATTACTGCACAGCAGAGTGAGCCATGGAAAGGCTGGATACTCCGAACGTATCGGCTCTTAGGGGTGAGGTAGAGGAGAGCGCGCTGTTTTGGCAGTTGGGCAAGGGCCCAGGGTAGGGAGGACGAGACCACACGATGTTGCCTAGCGTCGGATGGGAAGGACATGCCTCAAGTGCAGCAAGCGCGAGGGCAGCCGAAGTACAGAGGGGCACTGGAGGGGTGTGGAGGGAGCTGGGGCAAAGCCACGACTCTCACGGATGGAGAAGACGCAACTCAGAAAGCAAATGCTGGTGACTACCGGCAGGTGGCTGGTGATGTTCGGTTCTGATTGTGAGAGGTGTTCAGACCAAGACAGGCCAAGGGAGGGAAGGTGAGCTAAAGTGAGCAGGTCGAGGCACTTGGAGGAAGAGAAAGCAGGCCAGAGGAAGAGGGCTGAGTGCGGCAGGAGCTTCCGGCACACCAGGCACCGACGCCGAGCAATGCGGCCATCTCACACTGTGCTCCACGTGCCTCTGAGAAGGGCTCCTTCCTCCACGGTTCTCCTGGCTACACCTCTGTCGCAGTCATCCGCCCGCCCCAGGTCCTCGCCTTCAGGGTCTCACTGGAGCTGACACAGCTCCCTAAGCCAAACCAGCACTGAATGAGCTCCGCGTACAGCGGTCAGCTGGGCTCTGTGGACTGAGCAATACATTCACACTACAGTACTGCTTTGAGGAAGGACTACTGAACCGGATTCTCAGTCTCCACAGAGCGCTCGAGGGAAACAGTTTAGGATGACGGCCACCAAGAATAGATTCTGATTACACAAATTATATAATTTAAAACTCAATCTAAACAGAGGAGCCACATATCTTTCAGTTTAGTATTGAATTGTACTAAGAAAATAAATATTACTTTTATAGCATCATTGTTGCATACTTTTAACTCCATGCAAGACCATCTATTTGAATGAAACAAAAAATATCTATTGGATAAAAAGTATTTAAGGTCTTGCTTTCCACAGAAATGATTTAGAATTATCCCTAGAATACAACATAAACAAACAAAAAAAATTCACTTTACTATCGCAGTGCAAACTTTTTATAATATGCACTGAAATTTGCTTTTCCCCCCCGATGAATTGTTTATAGTTTAAAAAGAATCTTACCATCATACATGCACACACCGTAAGGGTGGTGAAATATTTTGAGTATATATCTTTAATTGTTGATAAATTTATTTTGCTGTGGGACAGAAGTCTAAGACTTCAGGTTAAAAACTTTATATAATAGAGTCAAGAAGGAAAGAGTTGCTCTGAAATAATATTAAACTTTAGAAACATTAAAATCTTTAGGAGACATTATACCACAAATAAAATGGGGCTCTGGTTCAAGTTTGATCAGTTTTCATACGAGCCTTATGTTTAGTTTTCTATCCTAAAAGCAGCTTGGCACTGTTCTGCCTTGCAGGGCCAAACACTGCCCCAGATTCCTCCTAAAGAGTGGCCCGGGGACAGCCCTCCCGAACCTGGGACCGGCGCCCAGTTACAGAAAGGCGCAAGCGCTTTGTCTCAGGAGCCTCCTTCCCTAGCTCACCTGCGTCCACCCGAAGAGGCCTCCTCTGCGGGCTCAGGGAGGCTCCTTGCTGCGGCCCAGTGGGCTACGGAGCAGACGGATTTTCATGTGGGAGGGTATTTTGCTATTTCTTAAGGTGATTTGAGAAAGGAGGATCATCCAAGCTGGAAAACTTGAAATTTCAAGGTAAATGCACATTATTCAAGCATATATTTCAGTGAATTATTAGAATAATTTGAACAAAACAAGTAAGGAATTAGAGTTCACATTCACACGTGCTTTCTCACGTAGACGAGCACAGGGAGGTTTGGCACAGTGTGAGCCCAAGGTGATTAGCATGTAACCACATCAGTATACCAATTGAATCAGATAGCTTTTTAAAAATATCACATTTTAATATAAAAACCTACAGTATAAATTACTACATAATAAATTCAATACTCTGAAAAAAAAAATACCACCCTGGCAAGCCGCGTGGAGTTTCAAGTTTGCACTGGACAGAGAGAGCTAGTGACCAGCCTCTGACGTAAAGGGGTCGCAGCCCACGGCAGTGTGCTGCTCTCAGCCCAGCCAGCCTCGCCAGGCCGGCCTCCCCAGCTTGGGAATACACTGCTTTACCTTGTTTTTAGTTTCAAGCCAACTTAATCTCCCGATTACTGAAGAGATGGATCACTGTTGAGCAGAACAGAAATTTCACCAGGAGAGACATCCATTAAAGGCACTGATCATTTCCATAACTGTAACTTCTTCTACTTCTGGGGGAAAAATCAAAGAACAAAAGTGGCCACTGTACTTATACCTTGCTTCCCCGTTTGGTCTAAAGCTCTTGTGGTGTTCTGTGAGAATTTTCCTCCTACTCAATACATAAAAATCATTTTTCATCCTGTAATACAGTTCACCTGCACAAAGTGATAGGCTATTCATTAAGAAATTACAATAGAAATACAAGAATAAAAGACATCCTCATTTTGAAAGTCCTGAAGCCGGGAAATTAAATGGACTTTATGTTGCTATCTGTATTCTGTCATTCTCTTCACTACTTTTCTTGTAGTAAATATCTATCTATACAATGTGATATTGAAAAAGATCAACATATGGTATACGCAGTAAAGAAAGCGCAAGAGACTTGGCATGAGTTCTTGAAATCATCTCTTTAAATAAACCACCCTGTCCTGAAAAGTACTAGTCATTTTTTTCCTCATGGAAGGCTTCAAGCAAGATCCTCAAATCCCAAAACACAGAACTACCTTACATTAATAGGTCTATAGTCAGTTTTGCTTTCCTATCTGGAACAAAGTCAAAGGAAAGCAGCCTAATGTACTGTACTAGAGACAGATGATAGATAGAAGGGGAAAACGACCGAACGAAACATTAGCCCATGATTATTTCATGAGAGAGAAAGTCCTACAAATAAGTCTAAAATGAAATTTCTGTGGCAACTATAATGGAAAAATTTAACTATATTATTTACTATGGAAAAATGGATATGCTTTTAAAAATTATCATATATGTGTAAAATTCAAGTCACCTTTAATGAATCAAAAAGTATTTAAGCAGTGCAGTTGTGTCCTACTGGATAGTTGCAAACATCTCTTTAGGCACTTCACTGGTTCACTGACGTAATACAAATTAAAGCTATAAACACGTAATGTTGTGCTCTCTGAGGATCGTCTAATCAAGCAGAAAGAAACCAACGCAAACATGTGACTTGTGGCCACATACTCCTCCCCTGTGACTTGACATCTTTTAAAACCAGTTGTCCAAAGAGATTTTTCTGGGGAAAGGAATGCTTTGGCATCATAAAAACAACATTGTTCAACCCCAATAAGGTAAAACAGAAAAAAAGCCTAGTGCAATAAAGAAATTTGAGTAAAATTTCTTTATGGCTCTGTTCAAAAGGGCACTTCTGCAGTGATACGGCGGGAGCTTGGCCGAGTGCTTTCAGGACATATTGCACACTCTTCGGTTGTTCACTCACATTAATGCACAGAAACAGTCTCGCCTGACGTGTAAGCTGTTCAGCCTACTGCAAGAAGAAAACGGTGGAAAGTAACTTCTGAAAGCCTAACAGAAGAAAACACAGACATAGTAGCCGTCCTTGGCTTATTGTAATACAGAGAACCCATGAGAAAGGAAGAGTGGGCAGAGCAAGTGCTTGGTCCGGCTGTGCGGTCAGCTCTGTGCCTGCTGGCGGGCAAGTCACAGGTGACTCTGGGTGGCCGGGACGCCCTCAGGGACAGCAAGGACGGCGCGCTCTGCTTCCACAGGTACATCTCAGGTAGGAAACGGAGCCTTCTGTGTATGGGAGAAAGGAAAGGCTGCATGCGGCGTTTCAGCAGCCTGCTAGAGGACTCACCATGATTGAGTTCACGTTGAATTGTGGACAACGGTTGCATCACAGTTCATGTTATCGCCAATAGCAGTTTTAAAAAGCTACAAATAAGAAAACACACAGTGCCTGACAGTAATTTCCTAGGGACACAGCTTTGTGTCCGGGGAGCAGCTTGGTTCCACAGCGCGTGCCTTTCCTCTACCAGATTTAGGACACAACATGAAGATCACAGAATGGCCAGAAGGGGTCATTCTTGGCCGAATTCCACTATCTGAAGAACAACCGCATGAGCAGATTGTAAGCGCTTTTCCTTATTTTTTAAAAAGCAAAGGAACAAAATACACAGATACGCAAACTCCAACACACTGAGTTAAGCACTAACAAGCACGTCATGACGTACAATCGGTGTCCAGAACCCCACTCTAGACAACACCGGGCAGCACTCCTCGGCACTACCTCTGTGGTCGTTAGGGCTGCTCAGCAGGAGAAAACAAAGCGCACCATCGCACATCACAGCCGGGGGAGCAAACACAAAAATCAACTCTGATGCTAGGGAAGTGAACCATCTGGATGCTACGTCACAAACAGCTTCTGATGTAAATTGTATGTGAAGAAGTCTTTACACATATATGCCACGGTCCCTGGTGACCTTCAGGTCAAATACCGAGTTATGGCACGAAGAGCATAAAGCAGTTCAGCTTGCATCCTTGCTTCCATTAAAAGTAGATTCACATGGACCTAAAAAGCGAGAATGTTACCAGATTAGTAACCATAGGCAAAATGGTTCAAGTTGTTCACAGAGTAGACTTGTATGCAGGCTCTGACCTATATACAGACAATATAGGAACATGAGTGCCTGCGCCTCTCTGTGCACATACACAATGGAATACTCAAACCTGCGTTTGTACAAAATGGTTCTATCAGCAGTAGAAACAGCCCATAATATCTACAATATTCCTGCAGTCTTCTTAGACTATCCATTATGCAAAGTCAATTATAAAAATAAATTTTTTAAAGAGAATAAAAATTAGAATTAAGAAAAATACAAGGGATACAGATTTTCACTTAACAAAGTATTATGAATTTCACAGTATTTGTTGTAATACATAGTGTTGTCTTCCAACTAGTTATTCGTATTATCGGATATATGCATGTAAAATTGGAAGAAAGAAAAAGAATGTATAAGAAATTAAGAAGAGAAAAAGTACAAACAATTGAAAAAAGGACATGAAACACATTAAAGCATTAACTGCTTCTTTACACAAACCAGCAGAAATGCACACTAAAGTTGTCAAAAGCATCTTACTTATATACATAGATATATCTCTTTCCCCCACTTTCCTATAAATTATGCTTCCTTCTAGTTAAAGTATTTCCTGGCTAAAAGTCAACTTTATTTATTGTTGGATGTACAAGGTATGACTGAAGAATTCAGTGAGTGTTTCAATTTAAAACCCTTTATTACAGTGACAGACACACTGCCGCCCCCTGCCTCATTCTGAACCTGAGTCCTCCTGTGGGCGCCTCCAGCTGTACTGTCACGGCTGCTTCAATGTCCTGAACCAATTCAAAATGTTTACTTTCATGGTTTTGTTTTTTGTATATTTACCGAAGGGTCTACAGGGTGTTCAGGGTCTCACTACTAGATTGGACTCCTAGTGATCCGCCTGTTTACAGCCTCCCAAGAGTGCACCACTACACCCAGTCTCAATAGCGGTCTCAGGGCACTCCAGGGGCGGGGCCGGCTCAGCAGGCCCGGGGATTGAACCCCTGGCCCCTGCGCCTGCTTGTGGGTGCTTTAATCCGCTGAGCTATTTGGCCTGCCTTTCATGTCCATTTTGACTCTGAGAAAAGTTCAGAAGTCACATGGTGCAGATCTGGCGAACAGGGGACATGAGCACCATCAATTCTCAGGAGCCTACCCTCACTGAATGGCGCCAGTGGCAGCATTCACCATACACTTTGACGACACCTTTCATTAAAGCCTACTTTCAGGACTGCTTCGGAAAGCATAAAAAATGATGGGAGGTGTGTATGAGATGAGGGGGATTAATGGTAATGCATCTTTTACTGTAATTCTAAAAATTTAAACATTTACTGTATAGTTTCATCACTCTTTATATTGTTCTGATAAAGAGTTTCCAGACAGAAGAAAAATGGCAAACACATAAATGTGGCATAAAGATTCATCAAGAGAGATGCTGGTGATAAGACAGAGATTTTATGGAAGACTTTAAAAAATGTTCCCCATGTCATGACATTTTTGTCAAGGCTATACACCTTATTAGTGAATGTGAAGACCTAGAAAGACTTTTGCTTTTATTCTCAAGCTTAGAGGCTAATATAAAGGAGATTCCTGGACTTAATGATTAAAAGGTGTAGGATGTAAAGTCAACTCTACACTATGATGTTGATAAAGATCCTTTAACTTAACACTAAATTATTACGTTGGGATGAAAACTATTGTTCTAATACATTAACTCTGGTGGCTACCTAGTGTTAAAGAACCTCTGTATGGCTGTACCTTTTGGGCCAAGATACAACTGTATCTATCACCGTTTCTCAGTAGGCTTGGTTTTTTAAGAATAGGATGATAGGATAATTGCCCAATAAAAACTTTATTTTATTTTTTATGTATTTGGTACAGGGTCTATAGGGTCTCACTACGTAGATCAGACTCATAGTGATTCTCTTGTTTTTAGCCTCCCAAGCACTGGAATTACAGGCATGCACCACCACGCCCTGTCTTAGTTGCCCTTTCTAGCGTGCCTGGGTTGCAGGGCTGACACAGCACACTGGGGATCAAATCCTGGTCCCCGCCTCTGCCTAAGAAGGCACTTTAATCTGCTGAATTATCTGGCTGGCCCTATTTCCCAGTAACTTTAAAGATATCAGTATTTAGATCCAATCTTTGGAAGGTTGAGCCTACAGCTTACTTTATACATTATGGTAGACAAAGCACATAACCAAAATTCAGTTAATAGTAAATAAATCTGAATTAAAAAAAAATTTAAAACCCAGCTAATTATACCACTTCAATTTCAATGGCATCCATTTATTTATTTATGTATTTATTTTTTGCGGCCAGCTTAGCCCCCCCTGGGGGCAGGGCTGGCACAGCATGTGGTGCCGGGGATTGAACCCTGGTCCCTGAGCTTGCCCAGCTTCCTAAGCAGGAGCTTTAAACCGCGGAGCCATCTCACTGACCTAGTGGCATCAATTTATTAGTACTACCAGGCACCATTTTTCCTAATACTTAACATGTATCTGTGCTCTAATGCAGGGTCATGAAACTGTTACCTTTTCTGAGTGTTTGAACTGACGCCAGTAACTATCATACATGCGCTTTGTAGTTCTTTCAGGATAGCAGGTCACTGTCTTAATGTAAACCTTCAGGCTTCGTTCAAGTAGCTGATTAACTTCTCCATAATCATAGTCATCATACCTATGAGCATGGTGACAACAGTTTTAGCATGGACAAAATAAAAAAATAATAATTTTTAGAGTTGTACCCAGGAGACATTTATTGTCTATTAATTCCATATTAAAAGTTCATTAGAGTCATCTAACAATATTTATTCGTTTGTTGTACTCTTGTAGGTAGTGGAGTATACCAGTAAAAGAAAAAAAAGTCAATCTCTCATCTCTTATAGCTTAAATTCTATTAGAATATAAAGGGATGAATTAAAAAGATAAACGCAGTATGCAGAGGACAGGAAGTGCTATGTAGAGGAAATCGATCTGCAGTTGGGGGAAGACTTGTAATTTTAAACAGGATGAGCATGAAAGTGTCTCGTAAGTACTGCTAGTGTTCATTTGTGAGGAGTAGCTACCATGTGTGTACGTATGTTAAAATGTAACGATCTCTCATAATTCATTATCCAGTATACTCGGAGGGTATGTGGCACAGTTATTTTATACCAGGAAACGTCTGAAGTGCTCCAGACGTCAAAGTTCTTCCGGCTCTGGAATACTTGCATGGACTCTGTCAGTAAACATCCTTAATTTGACAGTCTAAACACTTAAATTCTCCAAAATCTGAAGGAGCCAGCTTCAGGATTTCAGAGCATTTGAGATATCAGGGCTCAGAGATAGGGTTTCTTACACGGAATGTTGCGTAACCTGTGCACTGATCAGGGAATTTTGGCGCTCTTTTAACTACTTGCCTAACAAACTGAATTCTGATTTATTCCGTAAAGATTTTCTGATAACATATGAGAAAGGACACAATATATAGTCAAGTTGAATGCATTCACAAGTGCAAAAGTCATCTCTACAAATCTGTCTCTATAAAGTGTCCGATACGCCACTCAGAAAGGGCAGCTCTGGAAAGTGCTTTCGTGATCGAGCCATTCAGCCTCTTTGCCTCATTTACTCACGTCCTCTCAATGCCACTTTTCTAAATGTGGCAGCCATTCATTTATGCAGACTAACATGCTTCGGTATTCTTACGATGTGACGTATGGAACGTTTACAAGGACAAACTAGTTTTGCTTACGCTCTATTGACCATTCCTTCAAAAAGTTCAAACAATCAGGATTTATTACAGTGATCTCAAAAAGAATATTTTATTCTTATATGAAGACTTTCCAAGATTTCTATTCTATCTCCAATGATTATTGATGCTTTTAAGCTTAGTAAACAGATTCACAAAGAAGAAAAATGCTTCTCTATAAAATGAAACCAATTTTTAAAATCAGAAGTCCACATAACGTTTTCTTCCAGAATACTCCTAAATGGGACATATGTAAGACTCACATTGGAATTTTCACTTAGAAATGTACACAGCTGTTTGCATACCAAGCGTACCTGATTCCAAACATACAGTGAACGTAGTTAAACAAAGCTCGGCGCAGCGTGGTTGTGTCAACATCCTCACGCGTGGCCATAGTGTTATACGTGAGGTTGTAGACCATCCGAAACTTCTCATCAAGAAGATGTCCGATGTCAGAATACAGCCTGTTCACCAGGGAGAACCCATGATTTTCCCAGGTATAGTCCTAAAAGAAGAAAATGTATTCAACTGCAAAATGGATATTTTCTACTTCAACTGTTTTTACTAAATACTAGTAGTAGAACAAGTCAGTGAGGATGCTCATAATTCAGTTCTAGGCTTGTGCCTTTACTAGGTGTTATTAAGCACTCTTCCCATCAGTCTGTACTGGAGTAGTGGATGTTTCTTCTTAGGGTTCAGGGACTGGGCAGGGCAGCAATAAAATATGGCCGCCTTCTATGGTGAGGAGCTGAGCAGCAACAGTTCCCCGGATCTGAAGACACCACAGAAACCCGGAGATGCTCCTAATTGGTGACACAGGAGATTGGTCTGGTGTCACTAAACTTAGTGACATGGATATTTAAGTGATTCTCTGAAATAGGAGTGAACGTATGTTTAATTCAAACATATGCTGTCTTTTACATATACACACACAGGATAACTACGATGACTATAGTATTAACTTCTATTGGCTTATTAAAAGGAATAGTCAATGTTTAACTGATCATTCTTGCATGCTTAAATCCAGTAATCTGAGCAACTGTGAAGATAACAGTTAATTTCCTATCATCTTGTTTTGAAATTCTGTATCATTTTTATTGTTTTTTTGTTATTGTGTTGCCTTTGTTTTTTCTCTTTAAAATAAAATAAACCAAACATCTGCCCTCCTGAGGAGATCCCCCATTCCTCCTGCGGCTGTGCTTTGCCGGTGTGGGACAGAAGTCCTAGAAGGCTGTAGCCTTGCTGTAACTGCTTTATTACACACATGACTGCATCACTTGACCCCCTCTGCCTCCTCAAAAATGGATGACCAGTATGCAACTAACTGAGGGTAATGCAAGAGACTAAGTAAAGCTGAAAGCAGTTCTCTTCTACCGTGTTAGGGGAAAATGCTGAAATAATTGTCAGGTGAACAATTTAGACTGAAAACTAGAGTAAATAAAAAGGTCCTATCGATTTCTTTAGAAGTAAACGTATATACAATTTTATAGTTGCCAGTTAAAATGACAGGATTCTCTAATTTTCCTGAATACAGGACATCTTATACCTGAGCTCGGAATGTTGGCAAGTGCTCTTCTCCTCTTCTGGCGAAGTCTTCATACCCAAAACCAGGATCTTCAATGTATCGCGAAACATCGGATGTTGTAATCATGTCATCATCAAAATCTAAGGAAATGAATGAAAGATCCATTGTTGAAATATTGTAACACCGTTAAGATAATAAAATCATTACGATAAAACAGTTAAGATAATTTTATTAGCAAATACTGGAAATTAACATTTAGCTTTAATCATCTAGGAAAAGAACCATAGAAATAAAACATTTCTAAATGGCAGTAGTGAAAGAGCAATGTACTATACACCTATACACCTCACACAGTACCTAATACCAGGTGCTAGGCTATATAATTAGTATCTATTTTCTGATTCATTAATACAGAGGAATATGACCTGAGAAACAAACCTCTAAGTTATCAATACTATTGTTAGTACACAATATCAATAAGAAATACAATATGAATTAGCATGAAAGATGTGGAAGACATCTAACCATTAAGCTACTAATTGGTCTGAAGCTTTGAAGTGGCTTTTGGGAGCCCGAGGAGCTAGAAGGTGCCCAGACCTCTAACCGGTTACCTCGCATTCTCCTGCGTTCTAGTCGTGAACGCACTGAAGATCACACTCCTTCTGCCTCTCCCTCTCCCTGCTCCTCTCTCCTTCCCCCTACATCCCCTCTCCTCCTTCCCCTCCTCTCCTTCCGGGTTCCTACAGATTCCGACCAAGGACACAATGTGAGGCAGGTAGTATTCCACTGAGCTACAGTCCTGGCTCCAAATGGCATTTCCAGTGCATTTTCTCTTAATGTAATTGTGTTATAGTTTTATTCAGTTAGTCCGTTATACAAACCAGAATTTTGTGGATTACAAAGTAAATTTAACTAAGAGGAGTGTGTCCTAACTAAACTCTGTAAAACTGTCCCTTTAGAAGTGAAATATTCTCCTGACACTACAATCAGGTTTCCCATGGCATCCAGTGACAATGGTGTTGACTATTATATTTCTGGTTCTTTTAGGCTTTATGGTCTCTTTTGTTTTGTTCATCAACCTTTTCAATTGTAATATGACTCCTAAACATTTTTAAATAAATAATAAAAGTGAGATTTTTATAAGAGAATTGATTCTAGAAATCTCTTATTAATCATTTTTTCTACTTATGAATCTTAAAAGTAAGAATAAATTAAAACCTTCTTTAGTGACAGTTTTGTCTACAAAAAAATATATACAAAGATCCCTCAAGCTATATGTATTGTGCTATATATGTTCTGCCTGAGGGTTTCCCACAAGTGCATGTGGTAAAGGGTTAGACCCCAGAGTGCTGCTCTAGGAGATAGTGGAGCCTTGGAGAGGTGGGCCAGAGTGGCAGCCCAGGCTTGTGGGGGCCTCCGAAGGGACTCTGCTTTCCAGCAGGAGGCGAGCACTTCTGATCTGTCACATGCTACCACCAGGGTCTGCACCCACAGACCTGACGTGGTGGGGCCAGTGATCAGAGACTGCAATGTCTACAGTGAAGGGGAAAAATCTTTTGAAAAGTTGATTTTCTCAGGAGTTTGCTGTAATACTTTACATAACCAGCAAATTTAATTCTGGTAATAGTGTAAAAAAAATAGCATAATAAATTTATTTCCTCAAATGATTTACACATGACATGATTCATTTTATTAGAATCAATATATAATATCTGAACAGGACCCACCGTTTGATAGCCAAAATTCAATTTCAAAGGAAGCAGTGTCTACTCATGGGTCCAAGAAGATAGAGGCTGCTTCCCAAAATATATT